GTTCCAAGGAGTTTCTCCTTGGTTTGTATATGTTTGCATTATTCTTGTGACCTTACGTGATCATCACTCTGTGAGTGAGTGTGTCTGTCTGTCTGTCTGTCTGTGTCTTAACCTCTTCTTAAGAGCACACCAGTCAGATTGGATTTGAATTCAGGTTCACACTAGTGACCATTTAGTTATAAATCAACTCGTTAAAGTTCCTGTTTCCAAACTGAGTCATCTTCCAAGGTGCTGGGGACTTGAGCATGGGATTTAGAAGGATGCAATTCAGCCCATAAGACAAGTTTGGTTGTGACAGAAAGCAACTGGGGATTATGTCATTAAAAAGGAACGATGAGAGGCTGGAAAGAGGGGTCAGAGGTTAAACAGCACTGGTTACTCTTCCAGAGGACCCAGTTTTAATTCCTGGCCTCCACATGGTGGATCACAACTGTCTGTAACTTCAATTCCAGGGGACCCCAAGCTCTCTCTGACCTCCGTGGGCACTGCACACACATGGTGCACAGACATACATGCAGGCAAACATTCAAATACACAAAGTAAAAATAAATAAATCTTTTGAAAAGGGGGATGGCGAACAAACTCTTCTATAGAGCCAGACACCCCTAGGGAGTGCTGGTGAGGAGGACTGGAGCAAAGAAGATGCTGTTGGTGGGAATGTAAAGTGGTAAGGCCATTGTAGAAAGCAGTGTGCCCTTGAAAATCTGAAAGAGAACTACCCCATCTGACCTAGCTGTCCCATTTTGGGTGTATATCTAAAGCAAGGGAAATCCGTGTCTTATAGAACTACCTGCATCCCCAAGTATATTGCAGCATTGTTCAAGATATGGAATCAGGGCTGGGTATTCAGCTTGATTGCTGACTTCGTATGCACAAATCCAGATCCCCGGTACACATAAACACCAGGAGTGGAGGCATACTCTGGTAATCTAGTACTTGGGAGGTGGGGGCAGAAGATCAGGAGTTCCAGGTCATTCTCAGCTCCATAGTGATTTTGAGGACAGCCGGAGGAACATGAGAGCCTGTCTAACAAAAACAAAAACTAAACTAAACTAAACTGGAAAATCCATGGGCTTCAGAGATGGCTCAGGGATTAAGAGTACTTACTGCACTTTAGAGAACCCATGTTTGGTTCCCAGGACCCATATCAAGTGGCCCACAATCACCTGGATTCCAGCTTCAGGGAGACTGATGGCCTCTCCTAGCCTCTGTAGGCTCCTGTATACACAAGTCCCAAACACACACAGAAGCATAAATCAATAATAAGTGAAAACAACGTATAACCATCCGAGGTTCGCTTCTGTTGCTGTGACAAATACACAAATCCAGTGCAGCTTTGGGATAGGAAGGTTTTACTTGGCTCACGATTCTGGATCACAGTCCAACATCAAGGGAAGTTGAGGCAGGAGCCTGAAGGCAGGCCTGGCTGCTATCCAGTAAAGTATTTCCTCTAATCAGGGAAGTCAGAGCCAAGGAAATGTGGCAGGAATTACAAAAGATATTGCTGGCAGGCAGGCCATGATCAACCTTTTCTTTCTTTCCCCGGTTTTATATATATGTATGTCTCTCTATGTAGTCCTGGATGTCCTGGAGCTCGCCATATAACCAGGGAGCCTTGAACTCACAGGAATCCTCCTGCTTCTGCCTCCCTCCCAAGTACTGGGATCAAAGGTGTGAGCAACCACATCTGGCTCAGCTAGCTTTCTTATACAGCCTAGGACAGTTTTGCCTACACTGGGTTGGTCTATACTGCATCAATCAATCATCAAGAGAATTCCACATAGACCCACAGGCCAATCTGATCTAGGGAGTTCCTCAATTGAGGTTCCCTTTGTAATTATTGTAGGTTGTATCAACTTTACAATTAAAGCTAACTAGGATATTAATCAACCTAAGTAGCTATTGATAGATGAATGGATAAGCCAGATATAATATACACAGAGGAATATTCTGCCATAAAACAAGGAAACCAACAATGAGTATAAGCCTAGAGGGCATTATGTTAAGTAAAATAGCCAGGCACAGAGGACAAATGCCACATGCTCTCACTCACATGTAGAATTTAAAGTTGAACTCAGAGAATGAGAGAGAGTGAAGGGTACTGGTAGGGGCTGTATGAGTTGGCTGACTTTCAGCTGCACAGGGTGAAAAGACACTTCATGTTTACAGTATAGTGGCTATGGATCATAACAACACATTGCTTACCCAATTCCTGCTGAGAGACTAGATCTTAAATAGTCTCATTATAAAATGAAACACATTGGAGGCAATGACACAATAATAACCTAAATTTAAACATTTTACCATATATACAAATATCAAAATGTCATATTGTATGCAACAAAGTTATATGACTTATATTTGTGAATTATACCCTAGTAAAGGAAAGAAATATAAACGCATAAATGACATAGTAAAGACTAAAGCAAATATACAAACTATACCTTGCTTTGAGAGGGAGGTGGATGGCAGGAGCGTAAGTAGGGGCTTCCTGAGTCACCTGCAAAGCCTTCCTAGTCCTCTTGTTCTGCGGTGCTGGCCATGGAACCTGGAGCCTCACACACGCTAGGATTTACCGCTGAGCTGCCTCCATTCCTACACATCAGTTTCCCTAGGAAGGCTGGGAGCTTGCTCCTACCTGGCTCCTCCTCTTCAGAAGTGGGCAGGGCTTGTGATACCCCCAGATTCGCTTTCCTAGTGGGGCTTTTGACCCTAACTCTGTGTGCCCACAAAGGAGAGCTTTCCCGCTCCCTGAAGAGAAGCTGTGGTCAGCAGAGCTTAAAGGTGTCGGGAAACTGGGATGATTATTAGTTCAGAGGCCTTTGGGGGTGATGGGACCCAGACCCCAACCCTGTCAAAGTCCTGAAAACCTCCAGACAATGCCTCTCCCTGGTTCCCTCCCTCACTGTGCCTCTGTCCAGCTTCCACCAGACTGACAGGAGGCTCAGCAATGGAGGTGCCAGCATCTGGGGCTGGATGTTAGTAGTGGGTTCCTTGCTTTGTACTCCTGACCGAAGGAGTGGAGAGAGCAATGACAGGAGAGGCTTACCTCCTGTGGGGAGGTGCCTGCTGCTGCCATGTGCTCTGCTCCATGAACATGCTTTGGGTGCCACAACCAGGGCTTGCAGGCTTAGAGAACAAACTGCAGGCTATTCAGTTTTGAATTGCAAGTAAAAGAATGGAAAGACCATCTGCCATAACTTTATGGTAAAGACTGTTTTATCTGTGATTTAGATGGAGTCAACATCTTGTCTTGTATCTATCGGCAAGGCTTGTCTGCCCTCAGCATGATTCCTGCTCTTTACCCTGGTACCCAAATCTAGGCACTTCCACAAACCTGACCCACATCCTGGGTTCTTGGCATCCTCAGGTCTTTGTCTCAGGGAATGTTTGCCTCCCAGCTGGGGGAGGTAGCCACTTTGCTTTTGTGGCTTCTCTTTCCTGGGGTGACTCACAGCCATGGTTATCTCATTCATTGCCTCAGAAACTGCTCACTTTGAAAGCCTCCCCTGCCAGTCTTTTGTGTTAGAAACCTTTTCTTTGCTGTTCTTTTTCCCTAAGTAGTTACCTTTTTCATGAATGACTCTTCACTGTTCTCTGGCATATCTTGGGGATGGGGGGATTTAGGCTAGTGGCCCTACTCAAGGCTCCAGGTTGGCCTCTGCGTTCTTTCCCTGGGGAGGCTCTGGATCTAGAGATCTTTCTTGAAGTTGGGAATAGGTGGTTACATCTTCTTGGGCCTGCTTTCTCTGTGACCCGAATGTTGTCCAAGCTCTCACCAGTACAGAGGGGTGGGATGGACTAGCAGCTCTGGAAGATGGAACTATACTCTTCAAAGGCTACCACATGGTTGCCTCCCCTAGGTCAGTTCTCAGAGGGGTTGGTTGACAATACTTCCCTGTCCTGGATCCTCTCAGAGACTTTGAACTTAAGTGGGTTGGAGGCTCCTTGGTGGCTAGCGCTTCCAAAGAAACCCTGAACTCTGGACCTCCACAGGGCCTCTTGGCTCCATTTACTCTCCTGCACTCTACAGGCTGAGAGAGGATCAGACATCACCTTCCCTTTGTATGGCCTAGGACCCAGGTCCTCAGTAAACTCCAAAGGTCGGCGGTATCTTTAATTTACCCCTTTGTGTATGTGGGTCTGTTCTCAGGGACAGTGTTTAGAGAGAGGACCTCTGCTTTCTGAATTCTGCCCACCTGGAGACCAACTCGATCTGGGGTTCAGGATTGAGAGTTCTCTTAAAGAGTTTCTAGCCGCCCTGATGTGGCCATGGTAGGCAGATTAGGGACAACGTCCTAGCTGGGGTTCCTTCAATCTGGGAGGAGGAGGAACTCCAGATCTCAGACACAGCGGCATCTGATTCTCATGAGGCATCTGGGAGGATCACCACCCGTGAGAACCACAGGCTTCTCTCCTACATCGCCTGGGGCCGGGGGCGGGGGCGGGGGCAGGGGCAGGGGCGGAAGGCTGCAGCGTCCTCCTTTAAGGACCTAGCCACTTCACAGCTTTGGGCCAGCTCTGGCGAACTAAGTGCACAGAAAATGTGGAAGGACACAGTTTCCCCACATGCCTTCCTTTGGCAGCATTTTCAAGATTACCCAAGGCAGAGGGTGCTGGGTAGGGAACCGGAATGAAGGGATGAAGGGAGCCAAATCCGTTCTCCAGGTTAATGTGAAGTGTTATTTTCCTGGTGGGTGTTACTTTAAACATGTCTCTTCCTACGCTTTCTTTAGAAACGTTCGCTCCTTTTTCACACAGAATAGCCGGGTCTCTGGGCAGCGATGTGCAGCTCCCTGGGGTGCGTGGGGCGGGCGGGGCAGCTCTGGTTCAAGCCTCCACCGAGGCCGAGCGCTTGTCCTCCTGTTTAGCTAGAGAGGCCGGAGGGGTTGGGCCGGGCCGGCGCGCGTCCGTTGCCAAGGCCGCGCGGCCCTAGAGACCGGGCGTGAGTGGCGCGCGCAAGCGCGGTGGCGAGCTGCGGTGCACTGTGGGATGGGAGACCGGCGCGCCGGGACGGCGGGCATCTCGGGGCACCGGGCGGAGGCGCGGCGCGCGAGGAGGGGTGCGGGTGGTCGCGGGCGCCAGCGCCATGAACGCGGCAGTGGTGCGGCGGACGCAGGAGGCTCTGGGCAAGGTGATCCGGAGGCCGCCGCTCACCGAGAAGCTGCTGAACAAGCCGCCGTTCCGCTACCTGCACGACATTATCACTGAGGTGGGCGCGGGCTTGGGTGCGGGTCAAGTCAGGCTCAGGTCGAGGTGGGGTGAGGGAAGGGATAGAGCGCGGGACTGGACGAGGGCGGGGGTAGGGTGCCGGACCGGTTAAGGGTCAGGGTAAGTGTGGGACGGGTTGAGGCTTTGGGGTAGGGTGTGGGACTGGGTGAGGGTCGGGGTGAAGGTTAGAGTTGGGTGCGGGACGAAGTGAGTGTCCGGGTGGGGTGAGAGTCGGGGTGGGATGCGGGTCTGAATAGGATGCGGGTTGAGGTGAGGGTCAGAATAAGGGTCGAGTTCAGGTAGAGTGAGGGTCGGGGTAGGGTGACAATCAGGGCTCAGGTGGAAGTGAAGATCAGTCTCGGGGTGCAGATCTAGACTGAGGTGAGTGAGGGGAGGCCCCAGGTGCTGGTGGAATGAGAGTGGGGTGAGGGTGGAGATGCAGGTCCAGGTGAGGGTCAGGGTTGGGCTTCAGTTGGAGTCAGGGTAGCATAGAGGATGCTCGTCAGTGTGAGGGTCAGGACTGGTTGCAGGTTCGGGTTGGGTTGGAGGGTCAATGCCAGGCGCGGGTCTGAGGCCTGGGTCTGGGGCCAGGCTGATGGGGAGGGTGCTGAATCCAGGGTCTAGGGTTGGTTGTAGGTTTGGAGGGCCAGGCTTGGCTGGTTACAGGCCAGGTTGTGGGCCCGGACCAAGGTGAGGGTCCAGGCTAGAGGCTGGATCAAGTGGTCTGTGTGGAGATCTAAGGGTCAGGGTTAGGGTCTGGAGTTCAGAGTCAAGCTGTAAGTTACGGGTTGCTGGGGCCAGAAGCTGAGACTGGGATTGGGGGTGGAGGCCAGGAACATACATACATACATACATACATACATACATCAGTATGTGGGGCTGAGCCCTGGAACAGGTCTGGGGCTCAGGGTCAGGGTGCTGTTAGGAGCTGGAGTGTATGCTGGAGGCCTGGAATTGGGTTCTGCTTATAGTTGAGTATAAGGTAGGGTGGAGGTCCTTGTCTGGGGCCCAAGTGAGAGCTTGACTAGGGCCGTGGTGCCTTCCATTTTGGAGACTCAGGCCTACAAGGTCTTGGGACCTGCCTTACTTTGCCACCTCTTACAAGGAGGCTTCTGGGATCCCCCAAAAACACTCAGATTTTTTCTTCCCACTTACCATTGTGTCTCTTTAGAGCATGTCTCCCATTTGTTAGCGAATCTCCTGGGAGCTACCCTGGATGAGGTACCTAGCATTGTACAACAGACAATTGTGTGGAGTCTGTCAGGGCTCCTGGTAGCTCCAGAGCATCGCTGCAGGGGTTGAGCACAATTGGCATGGTCCACAGGGTACTCTGGAACTTGGGGTGTTGTTGGGACTTACTAGTCAGTCTCCAGAGCTCAAGGTCTCCCCTGGTGTTGTCCCTCCTCCTCTCAGCTGGTTGAGCATCTTTGTCCACCCTTTGCTTGACTCATTTTGGCCCTCCTACCATAGCTTGTAATGGGTGCTGTGGAGGAACAGGGCCCTGTCTGTTAGCAGTCTTAGGTGTGCCCAGGAATACTCTAGAATCTACTCACATCCTGAGGAACCCCGTTGGCTGGTCAAAGGGACTGGCTGTGGGAGCCCTGGGAAGCAGGCAGTTGCTGCCCTCCAACACGAAGGAGGCAGTCTGGCACCGGCCCATCACAGTGGAGAGACTGCCAAACCTGTGCTTTTTTTCTGCACTGTCAGCCCATGACTTTCTGAGTGCACCTCATCCTGAAGTCACTCAGGAATGGAGTGGGGCTGGTGGGAGAGAGGGAGGGAGAAGCAGAAGAGATGTGCAGGAAGACAGATAAGGTGTGAGGTGCTTTTCTTCTAGACTTTTCTGGATCCAGTAGTGAAGCCAGTATGTTCTGGTATAAAGATAAGTATACTAGCTGTTGCCTCCTTGTCAGAGTTGCCCTACTTGGAAATATTTTCAGATCCCAGGTAGAAAGCCTCCTGGTAGGTTCTTTTTTTTTTTTTTTTTTTTTTTTTTGATTTTTCGAGACAGGGTTTCTCCGTAGCTTTTGGTTCCTGTCCTGGAACTAGCTCTTGTAGACCAGACTGGCCTCGAACTCACAGAGATCCGCCTGCCTCTGCCTCCCGAGTGCTGGGATTAAAGGCGTGCGCCACCACCGCCCGGCTCCTGGTAGGTTCTTTTCTCTCCCTGAATATCACATTCAAGTCACCTTCATGGGTTAGCTGCGGCTAGCTGGCTGTTTCTTCATTAAGTAAGCCTCTTAATGGATGTCTCTTGTCACAGTTACTGCTCACAGTTTAAACTGCCATTGTCCTGAGGGTGGTCCCCATGCCAGCTACCTTTGCTAAACCTTAGATCAGGATGCCCTGGTGGTCCCCATGCCAGCTACCTTCGCTAAACCTTAGATTAGGATGCCGTGATGGTCCCCATGCCAGCTATTGTCTCTAAACCTTAGAGCAGGATGCCCTGGTGGTCTTCATGCCAGCTATTGTCTCTAAACCTTAGATTAGGATACCCTGGTGGCCTTCATGCCAGCTATTGTCTCTAAACCTTAGATTAGGATACCCTGGTGGTCCCCATGCCAGCTGTTATCTCTAAACCTTAGAGCAGGATGCTCTGGTGGTCCATGTGCCTGCTATCTTCTCAAAATGACCTGGCACAAGCCCAGCCCAGCAGAGTAGTGACTCTCCTGTAGTTTGTTCTGAGATGGACTCTTCCAGATTAATTAATAACTAGTACGATGCAGCCAAAGTAGCTGTAGCCCCATCCCAGAGGAGGAGGTGGCATTCACATGGGGCTGTCTTGCTGCCGATGTTTTTAAGCCTGCCTCCTGGTAACGTGGTTACTGTGTACCATTTGCCTGGTCATACGAGTCCTTACTGATCACCACATTCACATTCCTGATGGCTTTTTATTTTTTTACTTTTGTTTTAAATGCTGTTGCTGCCTGTCTTACTGACTGTCTAGTAACTTACCCCTCCGAGAACCCAGGACTCTAGCCAGATGTAGGGGCACAGAGGAACAGAAAATCATAGTGCTTTGCTAGAGGTAACTAGGTTATAGGTTACTTGTTGGGAGGGGCACGATAGGGAGAGAACACATGTGATTGGATGGAGGAACGCTCCATGGTGTTAAGAAATGACAGACTGTCTGGAACTGGTTTTAGATACCCAGGCTAAGTAGCTGCTTTCTGGAGTTCATTCCACCAGTGTGTTCTAAGTGCCCTGGCGAAGGTTTGTGTGGTCAGGTCCTCTACTATATAAAAGCTCTTTGTGTCTCCTTGAGTGCTTTGGTTTGTGGTCTCAAGTTGCTGCAAAGAGACTGGAGTCAGGCCTGCTGTGACCGTGGCCTCAGGCTCCTGCCATCCCTCTTAACTTTGGTCCCTCTGATAGAACCTGTCAGCCTGGACTTGGTGGTTGTTTTCTTTTGTTTAGTGTGTACATTCAAGCTCTTCCTTGTCAGTCTCTGGCCCCAGTGGGATGATCCCTGGTACCTCTTGGTCTCCCTTCCCAGTACCAGCTCAGCGTTAATAGTCTTTGCTGTCTCTTTAACTGACTGTTCTCTGAAGCCTGGGCCCCGAATTTAGTAGGTGTCAAACCTTTGTTGAGGAAGGGGATGAGGCAGTTAGAGCTGTAGGTGTGACTGGGTTCTTACCTCTCCTGGGAGTAGGATTCAGTGGGTGAGTCAGTGCAGGGGCTGTCCAGTGAGATGCATATGATGGTTCCTTCTGCCTTCTGCAGGTGATCAGGATAACTGGCTTCATGAAGGGCCTCTATACAGATGCTGAGATGAAGTCAGACAACGTCAAGGTAGGTTCTACTGTGAGTTCCTTTTCTCCACACCCTTGCCTTCAGGAGTAGAGCATGTTTTCCAAGCTGCACACCACTATACAGTTTGATGGGTAGAACACAAGGCTGATTTTGAGTTATGTATACTTCTCTTGTTTCATTTTCTCATTCGTGATAACAGTATGCTATGCTAAATTGATCTTCTGAAAAGCAGAATTTGGGGCTGAAGAGAGAACTCAGTTGGTTAAGGGCTGGCCATGCAAGCATGCAGACTGCAGTTATATCCCCCAGAACCCGTGTGAAAAGCTGGGTATGTATATTGGAATCCCAGAGCTGGAGAGGTGCTTGGTGACCAAGTAGCCTAGGAAAATAAGTGAGCTTTAGGATCTCAACACACCAAATAGATATATCCTGAAGAATAAATGACATCCGAGGTTGATCTCTGGCCTCCGTATGCACGCACACACTTGCGCTTGTACAACAGCCCCAACATTTATACCCTCATGTCTGTGCACATACACATCTATGCACGCACAGGAAGAAAACAATTACAGCCAGCTTTGCTGATGCATAGCTATAATCCCAGCACTCAGGTACTGAGTCAGGAGGACCGCTGCAAGTTCAAGGCCAGCATGACTACATAGTGAGTACACACAAGGCAAGGCTACAGCAAGACCCTATTCCAAAACATAGAAGTAAAGCAAAGCAGACTCAGTCGCCAGACATGGTGGGGTACATCTGCTTTCCTAGCATTTGGGTGGCTGAGATGAAACATGAGTTCGAAGCTAGCCTGGGCCACACAGGCCATATCTCTAAAACAAACAAAAGACCCAAAACAGATGGAGTGTTTTCTAGGTTAATGCTAGCCCATTAATGGCACCGAAAGCTTGAATGAGTAGATTTTGTTGTAAACAATGAAAGTTCATAAAAGATTATAAAAAAATCAGAAATCCTGAATTTGTCATCCATCTAAAAATAGTTTTTCATGTAAAGAGGAGGCATTCTGTGCCTATTGAATATACCGAGGGTAGTACAGATGCCTCAAAGTATTTATTTCAAAATCGAAGTTTTACTTTAAAATATCTTTTGAAAATTTCATATATTTTTTTTTTGGTTTTTCAAGACAGGGTTTCTCTGTAGCTTTGGAGCCTGTCCTGGAACTCCCTTTGTAGACCAGGCTGGCCTCGAACTCACAGAGATCTGCCTGCCTCTGCCTCCCAAGTGCTGGGATTACAGGCGTGCACCACCACCGCCCGGCTGAAAATTTCATATATTTTTACAGAGTATTTTGTTCATATCTGTTTACCGCTGCCTCCCTCCTGCTCCCCTGGTGTTCCCTACATTCCTTCCCTCCCAAGTTCATGGCTTCCTTTTTAAGGGAAAAAAAAACCCAAAAACTTCTGTGTGTGTGTGTGTGTGCACATGTGTGCGTGCGTGTGTGTGCGTGTGTGTATGTGCACGTGTGTGTGTGTGTGTGTGTGCATGTGGTTAATGTGTGAGCGCAATGCCTGTGGAGTCCAGAATAGGATGTGAGATCATTTGGAGCCAGAGTTACAGGTGGTTATGAGCCACCTGATGTGGGTGCTGGGAACTGAAACTTGGGTCCTCTGTAACAACTCTATACTCTTTCAATTACTGAGTCATTTCTCTAGCCCTAAAGTATTTATTTTAATATTTGTCTCTTACATGGAAATATTTCAGGATAAAGATGCAAAAATTAGCTTCCTACAGAAGGCCATAGATGTGGTCATGATGGTCTCAGGAGAACCCTTGGCAGCAAAACCAGCTCGAATCGTGGCTGGGCATGAACCTGAGAGAACCAATGAGTTGCTTCAGTTGATTGGCAAGTGCTGCCTCAACAAGGTAGGTGGAAGCCTGCCTCTGGGAGCCTTCCTGGTAGGCAGCGTGTCCTAGACTGGTCGAGCTGGTGGGAAAGCTTTCCTCGTCCATGCTTGTAGAGCAGGTAGAGCAGCTGTGTGAGTGAGCAGGTCCTGTGCTGCTCTCTCTGGTTATTTGGGAATTGGTTGGCGGGACAGAAAAGTCCGCCTACAGAGAGCTCTCCAGTACCCTGGATGACTGGGAGGGCTGCAGAAGCCAGAATCTGTGTTTGATGACACTTGAGGTAGCTTTCTGTTGTGTCAAATCCAAGTGGCAACCGTCCTGGTCGTCATGCATTTGAGTGTGTGAATGCATTAGTGCTCTAGTTTGAATACATTAGTGATGTGTGGTGTCACTGTCACTAAGCTTCGTTTGCGAAACTAACATTCTATGCCCATCAGGTAAGAATGTACTCTCCTGTTCCTCCTACCTCAGTTGTCCCCTGTGTCACCACAAGTGTGACTGTCCATGTCCCTCATGGATGTGGTAGTATTTGTCCTTTCAGTAGCATGGCGTCCTCAGAGTTTACCCACTGTATATCGGGGTCAGTTTTCTTCCCACTTAGTTAGCAATACTCTGCTCTGTGGATAGACTACATTGTTTGTCCACTCGTCTGTCAAGGGACATCTTTGTCGCTCCCACTTTCTGCCTGTCACAAACAGTGTCTCCCTGGGCACAGATTGGAGCTGTCTCTTTAGACCAACTTTTTTTTTTTTTTTTTTTTTTTTCTGTAAACCGGGAGGGTGGTGGCCAGGTCATGCTGATTATTCTGTGTCTGACTGTGAGGAGCCCCTCATTGTCTTCTGGAGGATGGCACTCTCTGCATCTCCAGTGACTCACAGGCTCTACTTTTCCCTCGTTGTTCTTAGAATTTACATCTTTTGTTTTGTAATAACTGTACTAATAGATGTGTGGGGATTAGATCCTGGGATTCTGTTTGAAGACATTTGTAGTGCTGTGTGGGTTACTGCAGCCACACATAGTTCACACTCACAGTCCGGGTCGAGGGGCGGCAGAATTATTAGCTTGGGTGTCCTTAGTAGTGGCTGTCAAATGGGGGGCTTTGTCACTACCGTTTTATGTTTTATCCTCCAAATGTCCTTTATGGCGGTAGCGGGAAGAAAATCTGTCTGATGAGCTGTCCTTGAGTGCTCCATTTTCATTGGTTGTCCGTGCTGACATCATTTTCCCCTTCCCTGGCATGGCCAACAAGCTCTCCAGTGATGAGGCAGTGAAGAGAGTCTTAGCTGGGGAGAAGGGAGACTCGAGAGGACGGGCCGTACGGACCTCCAAAGCACCCGAGTCTGACAACAAGGGCGTGAAGGAAGAAGAGTCCAGAACTCATAAAGAGGTGAGTGGTAGGCGGCGCATCTTCGAAACAGCAGGTCTTCATAGTTTAAGTAAAATGTGAAAATGACGTATGTGTCCATACGCTTTTCTTCAGGACAAAAGGAACTCTGAGGTGAAGGAGAGAAGCACAAGCGCAGAGCACAAGCAGAAGGAGGAACTGAAGGACGAAAACAAACCACGGGAGAAGGAGAGGGACAAGGAGAAGGCCAAGGAGCCTGACAGAGACCGACACAGAGACTCTGACAAGGACAGAAACAGAGAAGGAGAACGGGAGAAAGCCAGAACACGGGCCAAGCAGGACAGGGACAGAAGCAACAAAGACCGGGACAGAGAAGCCGAAAGGGACAAGGAGAGAGACAGGAGGAGTGAGGGCGGGAAAGAAAAAGAGAGGCTGAAGGACCGAGACCGCGACAAGGGGAAAGACCGGGAACGGCGGAAAACGAAGAACGGGGAGCATTCCCGGGACCATGACAGGGAGAAAAGCAGAGATCCAGACAAGCCAGAGAGAAAGGCATGGCCATGATTGCGACTTCCTTTTTGATGTGTTATTATTTTTATGATTATGTATGTGCTTGAATGAGTGCATGGGCACCATGTATATGTAGGAGCCCTGGGGCCTGAAGGGGGCATTACATCCCCTGGTGCCGGAGTTACTGGAGGTTCTGAGCTGCTTGTGGATGCTGGGAAATGAACCCAAGTTCTCTGCAGGAGGAGTCAGCTCTCGTAATCCAAGCCCCGAGGCCCACTCAGGGAGAGAGTGGCGTGCTCCCTAACACAGCATCTGCCCTCCTTTTGCTTTTTTTTTTAATATATATATATTTATTTATTATGTATACAGTATTCTGTCTGTATATCTGCAGGCCAGAAGAGGGCACCAGATCTCATTACAGATGGTTGTGAGCCACCATGTGGTTGCTGGGAATTGAACTCAGGACCTTTGCAAGAGCAGGCAATGTTCTTAACTGCTGAGCCATCTCTCCAGCCCCTCCTTTTGCTTTTTTAAAGACTTCGTTTTTAAATTTAATTTTAAAAATTTGTGCGGATGCACGTAACATTTGCTGGAGGCACAGGTGGTTGTGAGCCACCTGATGTGTGGGTGCTGAGAATCGAACTCTGCGTCTCTGCAAGCGTTAGCAAGGACTGCTGAGCCATCTTGCTGCTGCTGAACCTGTCATCCTAGGAAATTTGGCACTGAGTTGTAGCTGTCTTTGGTTCCTTGTAGTAATTCAAAGAGATACCAGTTTTGTGTCAGGTGTCTTTCTTAAATTTTTTTAAAAATTTATTTATGCTTTATTAATTGCTTAGTATGGTGCATGAAGTGGTTGTAAAGGTGGGTGTGTCCATGCCACAGTGTAGAGGCCAGGGGACAACTTTATGGAGTTGGTTCTCCTAACCTTTTTTTTTTTTCGAGACAGGGTTTCTCTGTAGCTTTGGTGCCTGTCCTGGAACTAGCTCTTGTAGACCAGGCTGGCCTCGAACTCTCAGAGAGTCACCTGCCTCTGCCTCCCGAGTGCTGGGATTAAAGGCATGCGCCACCACCGCCCGGCTGGTTCTCCTAACCTTTATGCTGGCTTTTGGAGATCTAACTTAAGGTGCTGGGTTTGCATGGAAAATGCTTTTACACACTGAACTGTCTCACTGGCCTAGTTTTTAAAAAAAACTTTAAATGTTTTTGTTACTTATTAATAGTAGTTCAACCATTTAACTCAGCATTATTCAGGAAGTTTTCAAACATTGAAAGTACCCTTGAGCACATACTCTGGGCGGTACTTCTGCTCACCATTGAATTCCTGGTCTAGTTGAGTGCTGGCACGTAGTAGGTGTATAGTAGACCTTAGGTGAAGGAAGGAGTCAGGCATCAGGCAGGGGATAGAAGGCTCTTCCGATCTTGAATCTTTGGATGGTGCTGATGAGTTCATAGCAGCTTTTGGAGTGTCTGGGAATTCAGAGAGGGAGCCAGGAAACACTGCTGCCAAATGTCTCCTGTCCTCAGAGTATAGCATTTGACAGTTCCCTGCTGGGCCTATGGAGAAAGCCCCTGCCTGACAGTGAGCTGGTGTGCTGTTGGCCTTGCTTTATCTCACTAGACGATCCCAAGGTCCCTTGTCTGCTGCTGTTTGCAAATTGTGTCATTCGCCACATATCCAGGTGTGGTCTCCCCTGGAGTGTGGACATGACTGAGCTTATCAAGGATTCAAGTTAATTTCAAAGTTTCTTTACGCATTATAATTGTCTTAAGACTCCATTTTCCTGTACTTCCTCTTTAATGACATTTTCAGGTAAAATTGAGGTTGGCTAGGAAACTGTCCTGTTTCTCATGGCTTTGTGAATGCAGGTGCCTAGTTAGTTCTCTCCGCGCTGTGACAAATAGCTCACAAGAGAAGGTTGGGTTTCCTGTTGTGGCTCCAGGGTGTAGTCTGTCCCGACAGAGAGGACTCGACAGCAGGCCCCGGAGAATGGAGTCCCAGAGCAGTTTGCCTTCTCTCATAATTATTTTGGGACCCCAACCCGTGAGTGATGCTGCCCATGGTCTGCAGGTCTTCCCAGTTCAGTTAAATCTAGGTCATCCTTCATTGCATGTCCAGAGAACCCTCTCACAGGTGGCTAGAGCCCAGTGTGCTTGAAGCATCCTAGAGAGGCTGAGAGTCTGTCTGCTTGCAGCTGTTGACCAGAGGGCAGCCAAGATGTAGGCTGGCCCAAAACCAACCTGTGGCTGTCATCTTGCTCTGTGCTGCAGCAAGGTGACTGTCTGGGAGAGGAGTGGACCAGCTGTGCCGGTGTCCTGGGACTGCCTGTCTGGGTGTCAGCGTGTTCCCTTTTCTAGATCTGGTGTGGTGAGGCTGTGTCACTTTGTCGGTAATTGTGTTTAGTGTTCTGCTGGGCACTTACTTGGGTGTTTGCTATTTAAGTCACATTTTAACTTCCCACACACATCCCAGAGTAACGTACCCAGTGTCATAATGTACCCGTGTCATGGTAACCTGGGTTCCTTGATGACTTTGGGAAATGAGCTGTTTCCTCTCATTACCTCTTGTTAGTGGCCTAAGGAAGTACTTTTCACTGAGCTGAGTTTTGAGAGGCACAGGTGTATTCTGCTGTTTTCCAACTATGCGAGGCAGTCCCTCACACAAACAGCCTTCCTCGGCCTGACTCCAGATCAAGCATCCACACGTCCTGCTCACTGAAGCTGCTGCTGTTCCAGATAGGAGGGTTTGTGTAAGAGCCAAACGCAAGTGATGGTTTCGTTTCAAAGGATGGAAAACCACAGTCAAGTGAAGTTTAGTTTGCTGAGATCTGGTGTTTCTGTTCTCCTTGCTCTTCTGCTATTGATCTGGGGGTGCCTTTATTGTGCTTTGGGGGTCTGGGAAGCCAACAGTGAAGTTTCCTGTGGCTAGAAGTGCTATGCAGATGTGACACCCCTCACAAAGGACCCTCTGGGGTTTTGCTGCAGCCACTCCTACTCTGGCCAGTTCCCAGGCTCTTAGATTACTGTCTAGAAGGAGGAGATGTTCTCAGGCTGCCTGGTGGACTTCTGTGAAGAAAGGTGCAAAGGTGTGCAGTCAGCGGGGCTCGAGGGTGGCATTAGAGCCTAATTGCTGGCTCAGTCTTTGCTGGGGCCTGGCCACCATCTCTGCCTCTCTGAGGCTAGAAGCTATGGCTGTGAAGGTTGAGGCTGACCTGAATTCAGCAATTACTAATGATTCTGTTCTCAGAGAGCTAGTTTAAGGAGTAAGATGGAATTTACAGTACTCACTTGGTTCCCGACAGCTTTTTCACTGTAGCTGTGAGGAGTCCTTCCATTCTGCAGCTACTCCATTATCAGGAGACACCCAGAAGACAGGAGTGGGTTTACAGTCACGTCACCCCTCACTGCTGGATCCCAGGTGTCCTGTGTGATTTCTTGAGAGGCCCTACCTACCCGAGGGTGTCTCTAGATCTCTGCAGTTTTCTTGGAAGACTCTGGAACTTCTTGGTAGAATAACATGGTTCTCAAACCTGGAGCGGCAATGTGTTCCTATGTCTTGTGTGTTCCTCCGTGCCATGTGCTGTATTTCGGCACTTTGCTTTTCATTGTTAATATTACAGATTTTAACAGTTCTTCTTTTTATAGTCAGCAAGCTCAGGGGAGATGCCTAAAAAGTCAGATGGATCCTTCAAAGATGCCAAAGCAGAGATGGAGGTAACGTTTACAAACCGGACTTTCTGTCTGTTCATGTTTGCTTTTCTGTTGCCACGCTAAAACACTGAGCCAAACCTACCCGGGGGAGGTAAAGGTTCGTGTGGTGTATACTCCCACATCCCAGCCTATCATCAGAGGAAGCCTGGAGGCAGGACTGCAGCAGAGAGCAAAGGAACACCGCACACTGCCTTGCTCCCAGACTCGGTCGGCTTCTCTATAGTCTGGGCCCGCCTGCTGGGGATGGCACTGCGCATGTCAGCAGTCCAGAAGGTACCCCACAGACATGCTCCCAGACCTGATGGTGCTTCTTTCTGTCTTTGCTTTTTTGAGACAGGGTTTCTCTGTGTAGTGCTGGCTGTCCTGGAACTTGTTCTGTAGACTTAGCTGACCTCAAACTCAGAGAGCAGCCTGTCTTTGCTTCCTGAGTGCTGGGAGGAGAGATTTGCACCGTTACACCTGGCTCTTGATGGAAGCAATTATTTTTATTTATTTATTTATTGAGCTCTACATTTTTCTCTGCTCCCCTCTGTACCTCTCCCCTTCCTCCTCCCCGCTCCAGCCCTCTCCCAAGGTCCCCATGCTCCCAGTTTACTCAGGAGATCTTGTCTTTTTCTATTTCCCATGTAGATTAGATCTATGTAAGTCTCTCTTAGTGTCCTCATTGTTGTCTAAGTTCTCTGGGATTGTGGTTTGTAGGCTGGTTTTCTTTGCTTTATGTTTAAAAACCACCTATGAGTGAGTACATATGATAATTGTCTTTCTGTGACTGGGTCACCTCACTCAGATGGAAGCGATTCTTAAACTGAGGCTTCCTTTTCTCTAGTTTTTCTAGTATGTGGAAAGTTGACAATAAAAGCCAATATGTATGTGTGAGTGTGTGCACATGTGTGTGTGTGTGTATGTGAAGCATGTGTATGCGTGCATGCATGTATGTGTGTGAGGCATGTATGCATGCATGCATGTGTATACATGTATGCAAAATGTGTATGTTGTGTGTGCATGCATGTGCATGTGTGTGTGTGTGTGAGTGTAGCCATTTGTCTGCCATGATGTGTGTGTGGAGACTGGAGGACACTCTTGGTGTCAGTCCTCTCTTCCACCTCTTTTGAGACAGGATCTTTGCTGTTTTTCTGGTTTATGCCCCAGGCTAACTGGGCCATGTTTCCTGGGGTTCTCCTGTCTTCACCTTTCATCTCTCTGTAAGAACAGATGGATTATAGACACATGTGCCATGCATCCACCTTTTGTGTGGATTCTGAAGTTCCAAACTCAGGCCTTTCTGCTTGCGTGATGTTTTAGTTACTTTTCTGATGCTGCGATGAAAATCCCCTGACAAAAGCAACTTCAGGGAGAAAGGGTTTAATTTGACTCACAGTCTGTCATAGCAAGGAAGACATAACCACAGGAGCTTAGGGATCTGATCAGTTTCCAGCCAGTGACTGGTCCCACCAACAGTGAGGTGGGGGTGTCTTTCCATCTCATTAATCTACCCAAGGTGACCCCACAGACACGCCCAGAAGCCCAATTCCCAGGTGGTTGCGGATCTATCAGGTTGGCAAACTGAGCTGAAGGGTCATTGGCAGCCGGCACTCTAACCCACTGAGTCATCTTCCTAGCCCCCGAGGAACAGTTTTAAGAGATGTCGGTTTAGACTTGCATCGAAGCTGTGGAGTGCTCTGTCCTCTCTGGTCTGCTGGGCTTGGGTGGAGAGGGTGTGTTTAATACCTGTTGTGCCACCTGCGGTGTGCCTGGCTTATCACCTGCTGGGCAGGTGGAATGGCGTTCTGTGGGCCCTTCGAGGTTTATGCACATCTTTGCATGAAAAGGCTAGTATGTGTAGTTCATCTGGGGGAGATGGTGGAGGTGGCTTCTAGGGACAGCCAGGTAGAGGGATCCATCTAAGCTTTGCCTGGTGAATTTCAGACCCTACAATGTTTCTTCTGTAGCTGATCCATAATCAGTGTCATCCCTTTGCAGGCCATCTTGGTCTGCTTGGGGAGGCTGGATTCATCATAGGGTTTTTTTTTTTTTTTTTTTTTTTTGAGACAGGGTTTCTCTGTAGCTTTGGTACTTGCCCTAGAACTAGCTCTTGTAGACCAGGCTGGCCTCAAACTCACAGAGATCCGCCTGCCTCTGCCTTCCGAGTGCTAGGATTAAAGGTGTGCACCACCACCACCCAGCTTCATCATAGGTGTTGAGGAACTATTGAAGAGTTGAAACCAACTTCCATAATTCATCTTGAAGTATTCAGAACCAGGAGATGCAGGAAACTATAGCAGGGCTGGGGAGGCCATGGGGCTATTTGGGGATGAGAGTGGCAGACTGTGCTAGGCAAGGCGGGGGTGGGGAGGTTGGGGGAGGAGAAGGTAGAGAGAATGAAGAAGGAGGAGGGGTGAAGGTTTGAGAGGAGGAGGGAGGGAGGAACTGAGGGAGAGGGCTGTACTGTGTTCTCTCTGACACCCCCCCCCTTTTAATCTGATTATTGTTTTTGTTTTTAAACCATGCGAGAAGGTTTTACTTACAGAGTTCTGTACAAATCCATTACCGTAATTGAGTGCGGTCATGTACCGTGTGTGACCTCTTGGCCAGTAATGGGCTGCATCTAAGAAGGGGGCCCTGCAAAGCTATATTGCTGATTAACCCTGTGACATCTTAGCCTGTGCAGATGCTACCCCCTGAGGTGATGAGCCTCTGAGGAAATCACCTGCTGCGCAGCACAGTGGACAAGTGTCTTGTCCTTCAGCCTGGGACTGTGTAGCAGCAGAGGTAGACTCCCCATAGGCACATCTCACAGTATTTCCCAGTCAGTGGTGCAGAAGGATCTACATGCAGGGCGAGGAGGTTTAGCTCTACTTCTCACTTCAGGTTCGAGGCTATAGTCACATGGGCTGGTGTGGTCCCTCAGGCCAAAGATGTGTCCCGTTACACTCTTCCAGCAGAGCGTGAAAAGTAAGTTCTGATAGAATCGATGTGCAATGTGCCAAGTAATTCCTTTCCTTCTCTCCTTTAAGGCTGAGGTTTCTGCGGGAGCATCCAGGTCCTTGCCATTAAAAGCATCAAAACGGCGATCCAAGAATTCACTGGAAGGTACTGCAAAGTTGCCTGTGCACATAGCTGGGATGGAGGCCGGCCTTTGTGTTTGGCCAGGGGGTATTAGAAGGGAGCCTTGGGGAGCAGCACTGCCACACCCGGGAAGGGGGTGTAGACGCTGAAACTGGAGATTGTGGCGTCTGCACATATCCACAGAGGGGTGTGTGTATATATATACATGCAAGCTCGTGCTGCCCAGGGCAGGAGAACCTATTGAACTCTGATGGGTGCGTTGAACTTCCTTTCAGAATTACTTGTCAGCCATCTCGGTCTCATTGGCTCTTCTGCTCTGGTAGAAAGAGTTTAACCCTGTTGCAGATCAGACACAGAGAGCCCCCAGGCAGATGCTGTTGCACTTAAAGAAGGACTCTTGTTGAGAAATGGCCTCACAGGCCTGGACTGGGATTTGCTTAGCAGACAGGACAGGAGAGCTTGGGGATCCTGGGACAGCCGCTAGTGTTGGAGGCTTACGAACTTCACTGAAGTACGAAGTGGCTTTGGCTGAGCAATAATAGTTTTGGAAGAATTACCTTCTTTCTAGCCTGTGACGTCATAAGTAGCAGGAGTATGGTGGTTGGGGTTTTCACTCAGCAGTGACGCCTCGCCTAGTTGTCATGTTGTGGTGACATTTTATGCTAAAAGCCTTTTCCTATGTGTGCCGTCTGTGGCAGAAGCCCACAGGGACAGTTGATGGTAAAAGGGCAAGGGTGATGTTAGGCCTTAGCCACAGGGCTCCATGGACAGACACTTCCTTCATCCCTTCCCAGTGCTTCAGAGCTTTCCAGATGTTCCAGGTAAATGTGGGGATGTAATTCCTAGTGAGACTGCATTTTCCCATGGTGGTAACTTTTTGGTGGCTCTGGCACACCTCCGTCAGTGGCCTGACTCCTCCGGAGTGCAGTGCTGGTGGTCGTTGGCACTCACTCCTTGTTAGGATGACTGTAGTGTTTAAATGTTCTCTTCTGGTTTCTTAGTTCTTTTCCCCTTGGTTTGGTTTCTGACTTTCTAAGCACTTAATATTTTAGCTACTTGAAGTTCTTGGAATGTGTCTAGAGGTTTGAGACATGAAGATTGATTTTATAGACATTTTTGCTATTTAGTCTTTTAAGTAAATTCCTCATTGTAACTGACGGTCTGACTGACGCTCTGGGTTGTTAGGATGGCATCCTGATGAACTGCCCTTCCCTGGTCTCTGGGACACGTGTCTACTACCTGCCTTCTGCTGTTGCTATTTTAAAAGAAGTTTTATTTAAATTGTACTGTTTTGATTTGTTTATCTTTATAAATTAAAAAAAATTGTTTTGAGACGAAGTCTCACAGTATAGCTCTGGCTGGTCTTGAACTCAGAGATTCCTCTACCTTTGGCTCCTTACTGCTGGGATTAAAGGTGTGTACCACCATGCCTGGGGTGTTTTATTTTGTTTTTTTCTTCAGTTAAATTTCTTCCAGATAAATGAATTTAAATCACTCTATCACTTATGCTTACCCCGCAGCCAGGAAGTAGGTAGACTAACTCATCATGACTTATGTTAGCTGTGTTTTCATAGTTTGGGAAGTCCTGGCTGTGTGTGTGGTGTGCTGGAGAGTCTTTCACTTGAGGCAATTGGTGAAACCTTGTATTGTTTTAATTTTATTTTTGGGAGCCCTGTTTTCCTCCTCATCCTGCTTTTTCTTGGTGGTTTTGTTTGAGACAGGGTCTTACTAGGTATCCAGCCTCAAACACACTTCGTAGCCCAGCAGGCTGCCTCAGCCTCCTGAGAGCGAGCATACATTCCACACTCTCTTTTCCAATACCTGTTCCTTTGTCAGTGCTTAGTGACACGGTCTCTCTTTTCCTTTTCCTCACCCTACTCTGGGTCTCCTCTCTTCTATGATCCTCAAGAGAATTTGCCATCAGGGACTTGCAAGAATTCTGACTGTGAGCTTCACTGAGCCGGCAGCAGCTTGGTTGATTTTTAGCTGCCCAGCCTCACTGGCCAGGCACTGACTCACCAGAGGCCCTTCCCTCAGCAAGGTTGGCACCACACCAGACATTCTGTCTTTCTTGAGTGGGTCATCATTTGAGCAAATGTCCTGACTCAAAGGTGCCTAGGACACAGGGCTTGGGTGTTTGGTTCACAGGGTGAGCTTTGCATGTACTACAAAGAACAAAGGATTCAGGAATGAATAGACTCTTAGGCTCTTCTGGAATCACTGTAGCACTTAAGAAACATATGAGAATATGACACTTTTACTTATTCCGAAACAGTTCAAAATATATATGTGTGTGTATATACATACATATATCTGCATATATTCATATATCTGTATATTCAGAACTTACTGAATTCATCTTAGTTCCTTTGCTTGGTAACCGCAGCATTTGTAAGTTTAACACTTATTTCTATTGTGCGATTTCATGTCAGGAAGAAGGGCCTCTAGAGCCAGTGAACATAGCCTTTCCCCTGAAAAAGAACATAATGCTTCCTTCCATAAAGCTAAGAAGGACCATAGCATGAAGCAGCTTGGTAAGATCACTCGAGCAGTAGTGAAGCTGGGAGGGCGTGTCTGTGCGGAATAGTCAGTGTCTGGTCCTTTGTTCTGAGTGATTTCTGACCACAGAGGGTGGCCACCCAGTGCCTGCTCCTGTATGATATCAGGCCTCATCTCCAGAGTGTTTCCCGGGTTCCAGTAGATGGGGAAGGACTGTGGGCTCTGCCAGGCTGCCACAGTGAGCTGCCACATCCAGCTTTATGTCAGTCTTGGACTAAAGTTGCCCATCTGAACCTTCCTTTCTCTCCTGTGCAGAATCTAAAGTATAAAGAGCCTGCTGGAATGCAAACCTGTGTAAGGGAAGGAAGAGGAACCCAAGAGAAGCAGGAATGAGGGACTCAGGCAGGAAGAGCCTCAGGGAGCCAGGGCATCAGCTCAGAGCTGCCTGGGGAGAAATAGGCCTTGTAGCAGGCCCCAGGAGAGACTGAACTGCTGCAGGCGTGCCCATGTGGCAGAAGCCCAGCAGTAGACTGGAGTGGAGAGAGGGCCCACATCAGCTGGCAGGACCCTGAGAAACTGTCCTCTTGACTGTATGGGCTGCAGGTGTGTGCAAAAGGCCTGGGTGGATTTTATACAGGGTAAGGATGAGATTTGGCTCTGGAGGGTGGGAGTGGAGGCCAGAAAACATTAGAGTTTGTAGCGTTGAGAGATGGTGGTGCGTGATGAAATAATGGCGGCACAGCCCCAGAGCCATGGTGGGAGCAGGTAGGAGTCAGGGATTCGGCAGTACATATGATGGATTGGATATCACTAGTTAGAGAAGAAAGGACCCAAAGGGAAGACCCACCTGGGAGACTTGGGGCACAGGTGCTGGTTGGTGGGTTAGATGGCAGCAATCAAGTTTGCGATGTCTGAAGCAAGCGGAGGTGCGCATGTGTGCGTGCACAGACTGTGAGTCAGTTAGAGCGTGGAGACCACAGATGAGTGCTCTTAGTCTGCAGTGCTGGCCACAGTGCAGCTTTAGATAGTCCTGAGCCCAGATGCATGGAGGAGCAGAGGAAAGGTGGAGAGGGTATCCTGAGTGCCAAAGGAAGGACATTGGAGGGGACTTTAGTCTCCTAAGGGGTGCCAGGTCCAGCTGAGAGTTGAACACTGGACACGACAGTCTATTGGTGACCTTGGTAGTAGGCCCTGTAAACCCCAACTAAAGCAGCCCAAATACAAACGCCTCTCAGCATTTTAATCTGCTGTTAACTGTTTTATGTCAGGAAGGAAAGAGGATAATATTTCAGCTAAGATTTTAGACTCCATAGTGTCGGGACTAAATGATGAACCAGATCAGAAAGCGACAGCTTCAGAAATAGGTAAGAGAAATGCACCCTTCAGTTTGACTCCTCTGGTTTTGATACAAACAGTTCCACGTCGGTAGCACTGTTAAGAGAGACCGTACTTCAGTCTAAATTCTTTATGATTTTGGTACAAAATATTTACGTGTCAGTGTAGCCATGGATTATTTTTATTCTAAGCACTTTAATTCTCACCATAGTTTCCTCCTATGTACTGAGGGTCAAATATGACTTACCTTCCAGTTTGATTTAATTTGCTAAGTTACATGATAATTTTCTTAAGCAGGCATGAAGTAAATCTTTAAGGCCTCCCCCCCCCACCAATATGTCCGTTCTTTTGAGACAGCATCTCATTCTATAGCCCAGGATGGTCTCAAACTCAGTGATTTTCCTATCTTAGATGCTGGGATTACAGATGTGTGTCACACTTAGCTACATGCCTTTCTGTATATTACATACACATGCTAATACACATATTTGACAGGCATGATGTATGTGCATAACATGTAAGGTGTAGGTCAAGACATTTTGCTCATCTTTTTGTTTTGTTTTGGTTTTTTTTTTTTTTGGTTTTTCGAGACAGGGTTTCGCTGTGGCTTTGGAGCCTGTCCTGCAACTAGCTCTGTAGACCAGGCTGGTCTCGAACTCACAGAGACCCTGGTTTTCCTGGAATTCCCTCTTATAGACCAGGCTGGCCTCAGACTCAGAGATCCACCTGCCTCTACCTCCTGAGTGCCACCGCCACCCTTCCCTTGCCCATCTTGGTGCTGAAGTTCAGTGAGATAGTGTGGTGGCTCCGTAGAGTTACAGTTTATATCCCACCAGCTCTCCTTTGTTTCATTCACAATTCTCTACCATTAAGGCTTTAACAGGTGGGTCAGTGAGCTGGCTCAGCAGGCAAAGATGCCTTCCGCCATTCCTGGCAACCCGAGTTTGGTCCCTGAAACCCACATGGTAGAAGGAGAGAACTGGCCCCCACAGGTCATCCTTTGACCTCCACATGCGTGCTGTGGCCCCCACACGTACACATATGCACACGCCACACTCTAAATGTGTAAATTTTTTGAGGCCTTAAAGAGCATGTCTGCAGGCATTGTGACAGTCATTACAGTTAAAGCTGGAGAGGGACAGAGTGTGCAAGGTCCCACTCACTGCCAGCACTCTAGTTTCCTGAGCTCT